CTGAACATTACTCTCTGTTTAAAAGTCTTTTCATGCTTCTTCTCAAATGTACAAATAAAGTGACAAGTCAGGCTAAATAAAGATTAATGAGCCCACACCCAGAGAACTGTGGGTGTTGAGTAATTGGCAGTAAACAGTGTAATGTGATACAGCAGCCGCATGAAAATACTCACAATAAAATGACAATAAAAACAGAAATAAAACTCAATTAGCAAAATTATCCTGCTCACGCCTGTGTGTCTGTGTCTGTGTGTGTCAGTGCACTGCACATGCATGTGAGAGACAGATTACTGTGTATACCTGTATATTCCCTCCACCACTATGAGGATCTTCTTCCAGGGTCGGTGGGTTCTCGGCTGCCCGTGTGCGATAGCGTCTCTCAGCATCTTCTCCAGGCTCTGCATGTCTGTGACACAGAGGAAAAACTTTTGTTGTCTAAGGATAGAATTTATTCCTCCGGAGTAATACGAGAGTCATCTTTAATTAATGGATGAGTGTCAATGTTTTATGATCACAACCCTCTGAAGCATTGAGAGGGTTTTCTTAGAAGTCAACCTGCCTGGTTCCTGGTTGCTGAGTGTGATCTTAGGTAACAGAAACGCCTTGTTTCCACAAAGCTCTGTGTACATATGCAAGTCAGCTGGAAGTCTGTTCATTCCTGTGAGACCCTCCATGAAAATGAATTAGCTAACAGGCTATTTCATCTAATCCACTTGCTTCATATCACATATACCCTTTGCAGCACTTCTGCGTCCCTGCGTAGGCCAGGACCTCTGGTGTCTGGTGTGTACACATGTGTTTGTGTGTGTTCGTCCTAAACCAAAATAATCATGCCCCACCTACTCCTGTGCAATCCAATGTAGTCCATAAGAGAAAGACAAAGTGGCAGTGAAGTAAATGTTGAACTGAAGAAGTAAGAGTGTTGTAAGCAGCCCTCTGTAACTCACACCCATGTTAAATATATTTGCTCTCCTGTTGGGTAAAGCAGATTAAAAGTAAATCCTGTCTCAGAGTGTTGAAATATCCATTGTGGACACTTTAATCCTGTGTTCTGTGTTACTGCAGACTTATGCTGTGCTTAAAGTCACAGGTCTATCTAACTGGTCAAATGTAACATGCTCATCACAGGAGGTCACCCACTGTTGTGTTTGAAGACCCGGATGGTGGAGCCGGACAGGCGAGCACCCAGCACCAATGACGCGTGATTCAGCTCGTCACTCAGAATGAGACAACCCTAAAAACAGGAGGAGAAGAAGAACAGGAGCATGGTGAGTTTTGATTTTCTTTGCTGATGACTTCAGTTTCTACATCAGTGGAGCAGTGATCCCTTATTCGCCAGCAAAGTCAAACATTAAGAAACAATGAAATTCAACCCTCTTTACTCGCCTGTTTGTAAAACCCAGGATTACACATGCTGGAGTGTTTTAGTGTTGAGCAACGACTTTGTAGCTCAGACTCTGATTATTGCACAAACCCACAGTTTGGCAACCGATCCAGACACTTAAATCTAATGCCTACTAAGACATTTCAAAATATTTTAAACCAAATTTTCTCACTCAAGTGTTGCATGTGAGTATAAAAGGTAAGTAGTATATATATGTAGTCTCGCCACCAGACAATCAGAGATCTCCACCTTCTGATAGTCTGGGGACACTCCTTTCTAAAGTGTGTTTAACACACTGGAGAAAACGGCCGGCAACAAAGCAACACCTCTTGCATTTTTGAAAAGGACACACCCTCCTGGAAATGTGCACTCCCCCTTTTCTCGTCCACAAGGACACAAACACACAGAGAGCTTGAAGATGGATGCCGAGAGATTTAACTCCGTTTTATCAAACGTGTGCTCAGTCCACAAGATTGGGGAAATGAAGGACTTACAGCGACTTTGTTTAAAACTTTTAACACAGTCGGACAATGTTTACGAGCACAAGAGTTCAGCGAGCCACCGAAGGACCGCCCTGCGGATTTAGTATTGGTTCTGCAACGCAGGGAGTTTTTTTAAACTCTGAAATTGTATCTGCCCATCTAAACACAAAATCAGGGAGAAAGACATCAGTCTTTAGTTAAGTAAAGCGTCTAGTCTAGTCTCTAGTATATATGTGGTCCTGTGCAGAGGTGGGATTTATGTAGAAATATGATCATTAGAGTGAGTTAGGTTAATCTGCATTTTACCAACAAGCAAGTGCAACTTAAGTATAAAGTAAAAGACAGTTTGGTTTTAAGATTTCTAACATAAGAAATGTGAACTTTCACACAGAACAGCATCTAAGAGCTCATAAATTCATGCTAAATTGCTACAGGCAACCTACTGTCATTTAAAATAACGATGATAAACTAATAATGATAAAAAAAAAACTTCTCAGAAAAGTCTTTGGCAACAAAAGGTTTCTCAATACCTTCATTTATAATATAATCTTTCCCAATGTGCAAATGGGCCTTTTTTTAAAAACAGTTTTTGAACCTCTAACACAAACATACATATCTTCATAAACCACGTCCATCAGTATTTCTTTACTTTTTCCAAGTTCAGCTAATCTGAATGCAAACAGCTACATAGTGATTGTCCTCTATTTACTGACCTTTAAAGGCTAATATTGATTAAAATAAATTTTCAGATACAAGTATTTTTATAACACCTGCAGACACCCTGAAAATGTGTGATTGTTTTCCTTTTAAATACAAGACCCATACATAGGGATCACAATATTTTTTAACGAATACCTTGACATAGATTTTACAACAACATTGTAGGGTTGAGTATTGGTGCTTTAACTAAATATTTATACATTTAGATTTTTGATAAATAATCATTAGTATTGTGAATATAATGATGACGTGAGTAAAGACAAAAGAACAGCTAGAACAGTTTGTAAGTTCAGAAAACGACATCACTCTATTGTAATGCAGCCTTTTAAACCAGGAAAAGACGAAACTTACAATAAAATTATATCAAATATCTAAGATGATATCTCATCTCATATCAAGATAATATTATAATATGGATATACTGTAATTATAAGAGTATTATAAGAGCTGGTGACAGCTCATCCACCTCCTTACACACCCAAACATTCACACAGGTCACACCACTGGTCAATGAATGAACGGACTTGTTACACAACACACACTTGTGCCATGACATCAGGATGTGAGCGAGCAGGAAAGTGACAGGTACAGTTGAGAATTTATTAACCTTTATGACGAGGGCAGTGACGCCGTTCTTCACTGTCTCACTGTAAGTTTCTGTCTTCCATTGCCTATCTTCATATCTGTTTTTCACTCTTGAATTTCAGGAAATGTTCCCTTTGACTCTAAACAGGCCTGTCTGCTCAGACTTATACTTCCTGTTCAATTGAAATTGGCAGGGGAAGAAAAAGGCAACCAGGACTCAAGTAAAGGCTGGGGTGTGTGATTTGTTGGGGTTAGAACAACAGTGGCTGGGACTTGTCAATCTCCCACCCCCTGCACTCAAGATGTTTTGAAAGCTTTGTGCGGAAACTGGTGTGTTATGGAACAGTCTGAACTCTTCAAACTTGGACACACATCTGAAAAAAAGTGGCTTGTTTTCACTTAACACAGGAAACAGTGTTGTTCCTTCACTTGCATACCCAAACAGTTACAGAGTGGGCACAGGGGACAATTTAACTATGAAAACAAATATTAAGAAGTAATCACATCGAGTGGAGTACGATGTTCTAGGAAGAGGGAAAAAACAAAGGAAGGACGTGAATAAATTCCATACCTTCCCTGTGAGAGCAGGAATGTTCATGGAGTTTGTTGCGAAGCCCATCCCAAAAGCCATAGATGACTCAACACCAAGGAACCTGGCGACCAACTGCTCCAGCTCCTCGTGGATGTCCAGGTTCCCTGTAAACAACACAATGTCAGTTAAAAAACAATTTCCCATCAGTCAGAACACTAACATGTTGCCTGAAGGAGAAATATGTCAGTCACACTTGTTTTCCTACACCTGTTAAACAAACAATTTGAAGTTTTGTAACCTCTAGTAGCACTATGGAGCCGTTTTTCTTTAAGTGCGTGCCTGTTTTGTTTACCTTGTGAATGAGGACGCACATGTGTGAGGTGTTACATAGTCCTCCCAGTGCTGTCACACCAATGACTGCATATAAAGACGGACAACAGGTCTCCACTTACTCCCACTGTACCATAATCAGGACAAAATAACTTGAAATTTAGAGCCAGAGGCTGTCCTGCAGCATTGAGTTCCTGTGGTGTGTGGCGGGCAGCCCCATGGATCACGAGCGCACTGACTGACGCAAACAGCTGTCAATCATAAAGTTAAACTCCCTTCTTAAGGCATCAAATGACTAGTTATTACCAAACTACTAAAAGTCAGAAACTACCTTTGGGAAAGATTTATTGACGTATACTTTGATTTTTTAGTTAGGCTCATGTCCTATTCACTAGCACGGATGGGACAGGGTTTATGGCCTGTACTGTAGCCAGCCACCTGGGGTGATAGGGTTGTTTTGGCTTCACTTTTGGGGACTATCATGTCGTCCATCTTTATTATACAGTCTAAGTGTCACACTATTCCACGGATGAAAAGGCAGCGGTAACATGCCAAGATGTGGTGCAATCGGCCAGCCAAGGTAAGGAAGAAGAAGACAGCAAACTAGAACATGTGAGCCCCTTTAACACGGCCTGTTTAAGGCAGAAATGTTGCACCGTTATTCTGCCTCGCTGTTCTGTATAAAAGGTAAGGTCGCAGAATCGGGGGACAGAGTGGTCTCACTCTTAAGCTGGCAGCAGAGGGAGTAACAGTGCCGAAAAGATGTCTGTGTATAAAGGGACAGCCAGCAAGACAGGACGATGGACATGTCCAGGATTGGAAATTAACTTTTTTGTCCACCTGCCACTGTAGCTGGTGGAATCCAAAATCTGCCAGCCACTCAATACATTACCATTGTTTTTTTGGGTGGTGAGTGAATCAAATGTAGCAGCCACTTGCACATTTCCAATCCTGGATGGTACAGATGGTACGGATGTGACATTTTGACGATGTGTTATGTGTGTGACCTGCTGCCGGAGGATTTAAGAAGCAGCTAGAAGCAGTTAGCAGCTAACTCAAAGAAGAACAGTTGCCGAAAATGTCTGCAAATTAAGGAGACAATGAGGTACGGAAGCTTCTTAACCTTCAAGCAGAGATCGACTGCTATATAAACAGGATGGTAAATGATTGTTACTCTTTAAAAAGCACTGCTCGACATGTATGTTATATGTAATATTAGGGGTCAACGCTGTTGTGTAACATGTCACACCTGTCACGTCTCTTTTGCTTTCAGAACACCAGCACTGGGTAGTACTATGCCACTGTTGTTTGGTTCTGTATAAAAAAGCAAAGCCAGCGCAAAGGAAATGCACTCATGATGTTTGGTAGACCTCAAGGATACACACAAAATGTTTTGGTAAGTAACAGTAAATGTTAACATTCTTGTTTGTTTCCAAGTAAACTCCACAGGACCCCGTTAAGCTAAACACACTGTTAACCTCAGCTTTACTTTACTTTGCTAAACAGAACAAGACTAAATATGACAAACTAATCAGCAGCTGCTCACGTCAACAGGAGGCTGCAACAAAGTGGGCGCTGAACTGAAATGAACTTCAAAGCTTTCACATTGCTTCACTATATTTCAAACTCAACCTTCCAGTCCTTCAAAGCCACTCAAGCCTGTAGCCTCGGCTGTACGCTGAGAGAGCGCCGGACAAAAGAGGGAGCAGCTGTTACAAGTACCAGCTGAGGTCCCTTTGATCAGGGACTGACTCCATGTTTATAACAAATGAAAAACCCCATCATCTAACTTGTTTTGACTCTTACCTATCTCACAGCGAGTGCTGCCCACTCCAGCTCCGTACTTTTCTGTGGCCTCGACAGCAGCGTCGGCACAAGCGCCGGTGTTCTCAGCAAAGCCGAGGTAGTTGTATGAGCCCATATTGATGACATCCTTCACCACTCTGCCTGTGTGCCTGAGAGACAGACAGAAAGAGAGACAGAGATTTGGTACCCTGACTCTAGGCTAATAGAAATAATTATCTTAGACATGTGAGCCTGCCTGCTCTGGTTGCCTGGCAACCATTTCCTGTTCAATGTTATCCTTTATTATCACAGTGCATGATAGCTGTGGCAGTTGCACAATAGTGTATTGTCCTGAGGGAGTTCAGCTGGCATAGTTTATATTATACTGTACATACCAATGAGATAAATAGGAAAAATATGAAAACCTTCACTGATATCAGAACAGACTGCTCATGATATTACTCAATTATTGTGTCTGAAAACATCACAGAAGTCAAGCAGTTCTTACAAACAGTGAGTTAAGATGCTAACAATGTCCTTGAGGGAACAGCAGGGAATAAAATTAAGGCAATGGGACAAAATAAATCAATTATTTTCCATTCATTTCAATTCTGTGCTGTCTTGATTCTACCGATTGTATTTATACTCCCTCAGTCACTTGTTGAGGACTTTGTGTTCAGGGCTGCTTAATGTTAGTGTTTCTGATCAGCACCATGTGACAGATACTCGTGATTTCAACATACCCATCTGAATCATGGCTTACGTCATGTGTATTATCAGAAATGAGAGGCCACTGACTGAAAGTGCAAATCAATGAAACTTCCTGTTGAGCTAAGGATCAGTGACACAGAAGCACACACCTCTGGGAGAGTAATGACCGTTATGGACAACGCCTTGATTCTAAATTAACCCTGCGCACATTCAGACACAGAGCACTGCAGCAACTCACTCAAAGGTCCAGTTGTAGTCGTGGGAAACTCTCTCCACTAGGTCCATCTTAGCACCGGGGACGCTGCAGATGGGTCTGTTCCAGTTGTCTCGAATCCTCATGTACAAGTTCCTGGTGTAGAAGTTCTCAAAGTCCTGATAGAGGGGGACGAAATCCTGCAGGGGAAATGGGACAGTGTAGGTGATTCTTTAATGGTATGTCTTTGTTTTGTGGCAGACGAGGGCAACAGCCCATGATTACTGATAAAAACTGATATAATAGCGGCTCCTCTGGGATGTTACCATGTTACAATGTCGTTTAAATTGCCCGTAGGTGTGAATGGTTGTCTTTATCAATGTGTCAGCCTGGTGACCTGTACAGGGTGTGCCCACCTCTCACCCAGTGTCCACAGGGAAAGGCTCCAGCCCCCCCACCCCCGCAGCCTTAAATAGGACAAGCGGTTTCACATAATAATGTATGAATGAATGAATGAATGAATGGTAGTTTCCCCTGAGTTTCACCATTCATAGCTGTCCCTCGCATTATGTCACCAAACTCACTTCCTTTTTTATAGCGAGGAAGTTTCAAAGAGGACCTGTGTCATATCCCTGGGGTACAACACATGTGCAGTAAAATCTGGTTTGCAGCTGCTGAAAGACTTAACAGCTAGTGCATGGTCAAAAAACATGGGAATGATTGATACATTTCAGTGAGGTGTCTGCAGTAAAGACAGGGGTGGGAATTACAATTTTGCAACTAGTAAAATGTTCCATAATAAAAGACAACAAACAAATTCTTTCTATTTGAAAACTTTCTGTTGTATATCGGCCGCCATGCATTAAAGTGTAGCCAGAAACTTCTTTCAGGTTAAGGGCATCCAGATAGCACCTAAGAGGACACCACCTCGTAGCTCTCATGGAGTCAAAGAGCCTGTCCCAGCCTTTTTTAATGGCCTTTTTTCTGGTTGTGAAGATGCAGATGTGTGCGACACAAACGTCAATTCACCAACAAAAATGACTGTTTACGACTGCTTACAGTGCTTATGACTGTGCAAGACAATTCCCTGATGTTCAGCAAGAAAGCAGAGGTAAACTATTTTGCACCATGAGCAACTTTGTGGTGAATCAAAAAACAAACCAAAAAAAAAAAAAAAACCTTCAGTCAGTGATCGATCTACAATCACTTTTCTACAACAAAACACACCCGGGGAAAGGCTGAGACGTGTTGACAACAAACAAGACAAATCACCATGACACAAGCTGTGGCATCCACATCTATTGTAAGCGCTGGTTAGTGGTAACGTATATCTGTTTTAAGGTATACTGAGATATAGAAGTTGACTTTATGATTCAGTGTACATTTGCATATCTTAGATCCTATCTTATTTTAGATACAGAAAAAAAATAAAAACTGCAACTGGATGGGGAATCTCCCTTCTATTTTAGTTATTTACAAAGGGCAGACATTTTATACATACTTCCATAAACAAATGGTTTCAAGTATCAACTATAGTGATTAAAATGTTTGTTCAACCAAAAATGACCCCTCCATTTTCATTCCTTTAAGGGTTATTCTCACTAATAACTTAAATAAATAAAATTCTGTAATACTGTGATACCATGAAACTGCAACATTTTCTTTCTTTTTTTTTTAAAGATATTTTTCAGGGCATTTTTTGCCATTAATTGATAGAATAGTTAAGTGTGAAGAGAGAGAGGGAGTGACATGCAGCAAAGGGCCACAGGCTGGAGTCGAACCCAGGCCACTGCGTCAACAGCCTTGTACATGGGGCGCCTGCTCTACCACTAACCCCAACTGCGACATTTTCTGAGACGGTTATTGTGCCATGAAGATCTGATACCGTTGCAACCCTAGACCAGTGTAGTTGTATTCATACTGGAACAAGATGCTTTTGATTTGTTATTAAATGTACAAAAAAATGCTCAGCTATTTTTGCAGTTTCCCGTGACTTCATTACAACACCAAAAACAGTGGTTCTCTCAGGCGTCCAGGGACCCTGCAATGATCCGTAAGGAAGTTCCAGGGGTCCCCAGATAGAAGAGGAATTATTTTCACTATTTAAACCAGTATAAAAGTGAGCCCAATGTGAGTAAGAGTCACAACAGTAACTATTCTGGTCATAGGTAATGCTACCTGGCAACTTATGCTTCTAAGACAAAACATAAATAAACTCAATATAAGTAGTTTTTGATCAGGTTTGATTGAACTGATAGCTTGGACCTTTCTGTCACTGACACAGCAGTGAATATGTTGTTTTTTAATCAGCCTTTGCATTTAAAGGGGTCTAATGTAAAAACCACTTTACCTTCTGTTCCTCTTTCTCCCGAGCCACGTGACACTTCTCGATGCTCCAGTGGCGAAGGAAGTCCCGGAGGTAGCCGAAGACAGTGAGGATGCCGTAGCCCATGTAAGTGAGCACAGCCACCAGTAGAGGAGTCTCCTCAAACGACTCCACAAAGGGCTTCTTGTACAGGCTGGGGTTGTGTGTGACATTTTGGTTCTGGGGGACAATAAAGAAAAAGAATCTGTAATTACAAGTCGCTTCAAGTTAAAGTCATGATACAAATTCAAGCAGACAACTGAAGACTTTTTATTCTCAAACACATCTGAGGCCAAGGACCAGATTTAGGAGGACTAATGTAAACTAACTGGTACCCTTTTAACATTCAGCTGGTGCTTTAAGAAGATAATGGTTCATCCACGCTTTAAGCCTCTGTTTACTCATTAAATCTGCTCCAGCAGGCAGACCAATAAATGTGAAAGAAAGCAGAGCAGACCAATCCAGTACAAGCTGGGCACACACCACACGACAGCAGGGCTGATTTGTTAAAATTGTGTTTTTCTTGGAAAGAGTTAGAAACCTAATAAAGGCTACAATAAGCGCATTAATTCACAGAGGCCCGACCATGCTCAGGTCCCCATGGACCAGTGAGCAGTAAAATGGCCATCAATCCAGGGTTCTAATTCATCGAGTTTTATGAATAGCAATATTGATCTTGGATTATGGGACCATATAAATGTGGTCACACACTGGAGCACCTCCACAAAAACTGAAAAATACTAGCATCATTTTGAGCTCGACTGTCGACTGGCTGTCTGCAAAACCAACATTAAACAAACGAGGGCGGTCACTCATTACCAACTCTGCCCCGCAGCTTAGCAACCGCACCTCATGTGACCAGTCATGCTTCTTGAAGAAATACCTCAGAGCCAGGGAACAGGAGAACGCTGCAGTGTGAGCGTGTTCAAAGCCAGACAGGTCCCTTTCTCTAAAGTTAAAAATGCATTGAAAGACCAGCAGACTAGAAGCCGTGGTTTGTAAACTGTCAACAGCGAGCACAAAAACACATTCACATCCAAGTATACCGCTCAGAGGGACTGTTGCATACTGATGCCAACCACAGCGGCTAAAAACAGTTTGACTGACGTCACATTAGCTTAATTTTTTATAGCTGTGGACAAACAGGGCCTGAGAGGAGGCAGACCCGTGCCATTCATTTACAGCTGGACAGCACTCAGCATGCAGCCAACACACTCTGTCCAAACCTGCTCTTTCACATGCTTACTCTGCAGTTTGAGAGCTGGTGATCATATTACATTGTATAGACAATAAGAAAAGCTTGCACATGGTGTGTGTTTCACATCAGGCCTAACACAGAGTAAATAAGTAAGGCCTCTTCCTGCTACTTGTATATTCAATTTGTGGCTCATTCTCACTGAGCGATTATTGACACTACCATCCCGGCTGAAAGCTGTAATTGAGATCATTTATTCCTACCCGCTCATAAAAAACCTGCTTCTAAGCATTTTCCTATACTCTCAATATGAGGATTATGACTAGCTCGATAAGGTAAGATCTATTTTTGAGCTACTGACACCAACCCAGGAGGACATTTATGACCAGTCTGTGATTGAGACTCAGGCACACCATGAAATGGTCTCAATACTGTATTTGTTAAAGCAGAGGAAGGCAGTTTAATTTGGGCGTCAATGTCGAGCAGTCAGTTTTTCTTGGTCATCAGTGTGCGGTGCAGTGTACTTCTGGGGACG